AATACGTTATTCTTGTTTCAATAGGCATTTTTTTTTTTACAATTTAATTTCACTATTATTTAAATTGCAATATTTCAAAATATATAATATCGATATATGAACATCGCTAAAACAACGAAGGTTTTTTTTTTTAATCAATTCGATTGATTCAACTTGAAGTAGAGGAGAGAGAAAGAGGGACAAGGAAAAAAGGATTCCTTTTATTATTTCGGTGTATCGTGTCCTTTCATCGAAAGTGCCGCGACGACGAGTCGCATCGGTTGGTGAAGTTAAAAGTCAACCATATAAAATCTGCTTAACACCGATCGTTCCGGCTTTGCTCGTTCGTGCACGGCGACCGATATTATCAATGACTCTTTGCCTCAAGTGAATAGCGATTGAATATAAATTCTGATGTATTAACGCGCGACCAAAGTTGAAACTCTAAACTATATATATATGATGTCCATATTATTAATTTACCAATTCAGGAAATTTTATTCTTTTTATCATAAATTATGATGCACTGGCGTTACAAATTCATTGCTGCTGAAAAAAATCTGTATTTCGTTTGGTTGGTACAATAAATTCGTATTGTTGCACTAACAATATACTACAACAGATTTTTAGTTGCTACAACAAATTGAGTCGCCGGAAAGTAAAACCACACATAAAATTCTGACGACCATGTTAATTCAATGGGAGTCAGAATTTTATATGTGGTTTTACTTTCCGGCGACTCAATTTGTTGTAGCAAACTATTTATTGTAACGATTATTTGTTGGGTCAACTAAAAATTTGTTTTAATAACAAATATGCTGTTAGTGCAACAGTGCAGATATTGTAATAACCAAACAAAATTTTAGTTACAGATTTAGTATTCATCTCCGTGTTTCAAAAAAATACATTTTTACGGAAAAAAAAATGGTTATTGCGCAGAATTTTCCAAGGTCTAATTAAACGACAGACATATATTAAACATGTGCCAGAATAATTAGGTTGCTGGCGAAAGATAAAGCAATATACCTTTTGTAAGAAGATTAAGACATCGAGTCTCCTCTATCGACTAATAAACGTCAGTCGAGTGACAAGTAGTGTCCTTTTTTTCTGAGCTCATTAAAGTGCATCATAATAAAAATTCCCGAGTTTTACGCCTACCGTGGATACCGGCGCTCTCTCCTTCTCTCTCTCTCTCTCTCTCTCTCTCTCTCTCTCTCTCTCTCTCGGCAAATTAAATACAGCGCAACAAATTACGCCGAAGCCCGAAGACCACCGTAAATCAAAGAACCGGACGAGGTGAACGCGCCACAACTTTAAATCCGAATGAAATCGAGTCCTTTATGAGAGAATTGGCTAGAGTATAGCATTCTCGTTTAAGTTTAAATAAGAAGGAAGATATGTCTCTTATAAAGGTGCAAAAGATAGCAAAAGAACTTGCTTCTTTTTTTTACAACCAAACGTCTCAATTAAATATACCTAAATTTGAATTTTCAATAAAAATTCGAATTTTTTTTGTTAAATTAAAAAATTTTCACACTTATTAAAGACGATATAACTTTTTGATATATTATCCATGACGATAAAAAAAAAAATTCTAAGCTAAATTATTCAAAAAATTTTAAAAACACCTTTTCCATTTAGATTAGAGAGAATATTAAGTAGGTTTTTACAAATTAGATACAAATATTGTCTCATTTTGAAATGTTGCAATTATAGTTATTAGTTCTTAAAAAACACTTTTCAGATGAAATAAAGATTTATTATTATTATATTCAACGAAGATTTTAATATTATTCATAGGTATATAGAGAATAAATATATGCAGAAAAAGTTTATATTTTAATTAATTTAAAAAGCAAAAGAGAGCAAAAAGAAAGAGATCCTTGTGAAGGACTTACAACTATAAACGAGTTTGTTGCTATACAAGAAAAGTTGTATGTTGTTGTTGAATGCGCAGTAGCCGGCGGGCGCAGAGGTCGAATAATGCCGAGTCCGGTTAATCTTCAGGATACAAAGGGGGCATTCGCTTATCAGTGACTCCCATCTTATCATGACGTTGTTGGAAAATAAATCATGCAGAAGAGGGGGGGGGGGAGGGAGGGAGATACACCTTTAATTACCGGTCGCATAGGAAAAATATGAAGACGTAATACCTTATCCCAGTTGCTTCTTCTTCTCCCTGCCAACCGGTAGGCGAAGCAGAGAAACTGGTCGATTCGTTGGATATGAGAGGTTGGTAGAGGCGTTGCTCATAAATAATAAACACATATCCACCGAACGCCACCGGTTACCTCGACTTCTTCTTCTTCTTCTCCTTCTTCTTATTCGAGGATAAAGTGACCCTGATGAACCCTCAGGATATCGATATATCGATTGAAAAACATCAAATTGAAAAGAAGCCTTCGATAAAACTCCTCATAAAATTCTTAGAATTAAATGACCCCCATTGACTTTTGAAATCACTTTCATATAGGGAAATAAAAATATAATGAATCACTTATTGTATGACATTTGACAATAATTGTGAAACAATTTGTAAAATAATTGAAACCATTTGAAACAAATTTCACACACTACTTCAAAAATGATCGTTGTATATATGTGTTGAGAAATAAGAGATGATTTTGAATATAATTTTAACAAGTCAGCGCACGGTCTTTAGGAGAGAGTGGAAGAAAATCATTTAACACTGCTCAGAACTGAACTAATGTTGCTATTAAAACAACTAATGGTTACATGGTCAACACCTCAGGTGCATGTTTCTCTATACCATCGTTTTTAAAGAGTTAAATAATTTTTTTTTTTTTTACTTCAAGTTTGTTTCAATGACTACTGGTTCTGAAGTAAAAGTTTCGCATATTTTTGCTCTGAAATAAATATAAATATATATATATACACATTATTATTGATGACGAATGATTTGCTCTAGGAACTAAACATAAACTTGAAAATTGATGTTCGAAAAAGAACAACTGTATAATTAAGAGATTATTATTTTTTATGACTGCTTTGGTGAAACAAAATACTAAAAGTAGTAAACATTTTTCCTCTTTTAATCCTTTGTTTTTCTTTGTAGTTTTCAAACTGAAATTATCACCTATGACGAAGGTAGCGCTCCTAGTGTTCACTATCGGAAATACAAAACGTCGTACAGCGTTAAAAATGGCTTGGCACAAAACGTTTTGTGTTCCAATAAGGTTTTTATAATGTTAATTTTTGGTTAAAGAACGTTTTTAAAAGTGTTTTATGTTCGCCAAATGTTTTTGGCGTAATACCCTTAGACAATGGAAATAACCTTTAAAATTATTGACATTTAGGTTGAAAAATGATTTTACTCATTGGAATATTAGATGGTTTTTTGTCCATTGGGCTATTTTGTTATTTTAGATATTTGAAAAAGTTATTAATGTACCTTAATGTTGCTATTATTTCTGCAACATTGCTACTGTATTATCATTTAGTAGAAATGGGTACAATATTGCTGCAAGTTCAGGCGATGCGTGTAATTTCTAACCTCAAAGTTTCTGACGATAAAAATAACGTGAAACTCGACAGTACTGTACAGTACAGTAAAACACTGTAAAGTACAATAAAGTACAGCTGAGTACAATAAAGTACAGTACGGTAAAACACTGTAAAGATAAATAAAGCCGAGTACAGCAAACTACAGTCAAGTACAGTTAAGTACAGTACGGTAAAACACTGTAAAGGAAAGTAAAGCCAAGTACATCAAAGTACTGTCCAGTACAGTAGAACACTGTAAAGATAAATAAAGCCGAGTACAGCAAACTACAGTCAAGTACAGTTAAGTACAGTACGGTAAAACACTGTAAAGGAAAGTAAAGCCAAGTACATCAAAGTACTGTCCAGTACAGTAGAACACTGTAAAGGAAAGTAAAGCCAAGTACATCAAAGTACTGTCCAGTACAGTAGAACACTGTACAGGAAAGTAAAGGCGAGTACAGAAAAGTACAGTCAAGTACCGTAAATTATAAAACAGTAAAACACTGCAAAGTAAAGTACAATAAAATACAGCTAAGTGCAGTAAAGTACAGTACGGTAAAACACTGTAAAGGTAAGTAAAGTCGAGTACATCAAAGTACTGTCCAGTACAGTAGAACACTGTACAGGAAAGTAAAGCCGAGTACAGCAAAGTACTGTCAAGTACAGTAAATTACACTACAGTAAAACACTGTAAAGGACAATAAAGCCGAGTACAGCAAACTACAGTCAAGTACAGTAAAGTACAGTACGGTAAAACACAGTAAAGGAAAGTAAAGCCGAGTACATCAAAGTACTGTCTAGTACAGTAGAACACTGTAAAGGAAAGTAAAGCCGAGTACATCAAAGTACTGTCAAGTACAGTAAATTACACTACAGTAAATCACTGTAAAGGACAATAAAGTCGAGTACAGCAAAGTACAGTCAAGTACAGTAAATTATAGTTTAGTAAAACACTGTAAAGGAAAGTACAATAAAGTACAGCAATGTACAGTAAAGTAAAACTGCGTACAGTAAAGTACATTACAGTAAAACATTGTAAAGGAAAATAAAGCCGAGTACAGCAAACTACAGTCAAGTACAGTAAATTATAGTACAGTAAAACTCTGCAAAGGAAAGTACAATAAAGTACAGCAAAGTACAGCATAGTACAGTAAAGTAAAACTGCGTACAATAAAGTACATTACTGTACAGCTGAGTACAGTAAAGTACAGCAAAGTAGAGTACAGTAAAATACAATAAAGTACAGCATAGTACAGTACAGTAAAACACAGTAAAGTTATGCAAAATACAGCAAAATTCAGTTTTACTAATTCAGATTTACAAAAATAAAGTCTCAATTATCAGAATATAAAAATGGCACTATTCAGAATTGTTTCTGTGGATTTTTGAGGATTTCGACAATAAAAAAAAAAAAGAAACAAGTAGTACTTCGCTCCTTCTACTGTGCGTATATACCATATTAGCATCAGCAGAAGCATCAACAGCGGGAACCAACCACTACTACCACTCTATATCACCTTCTCCAAGTTCCTCTCTGGAGAACCTGGCCATGTGACTGATTCCCCTTCTCCACAGGTTGACGAGTCGAGGGCCTGCCTACCTGTCGCCCGCTGCCCCGCTCCCATTACGACGCGGACTCTCGCGGCAGGTGCACCAAGCTAAGTTCCACTCCGCTTGCCTTGTTACCTGTACAATTCACAACCTGTGTACAACATTCTCTGTTTCTGTCTCTTGGTGATTTAAGTGTTGACAATTTTGCGTTTAAGTTTTTTTTGTTCAAAAAAAAAATTTTTTTTTTTTTTTTTTTTCACTGTGATTAATAATATTTCAGTGCAAAGGTGACTATACTGTGAACTCGATTTTTTGACCTTGTCAGGTAAATGACGCACCTGCTCGCGACACTGCACGTATGTCTCGCGTGATTACCTCGTGACATTGCGAAGAAGACACCTGCCTTGTCGATCAAACATTAACTATTGTGAATGTTTCTTTTTTTTGAACTCTTAGTGAAATATTAGTGTAGTGCGTTTTTTTTTCTGTTTTGCAAATAACAGGTGATTGAAAACATTTGACTAGAAATGTAACCATCTGCAAATTGTCTATTAAATGAGAACGATTTCGTGCCTTATCAGTTTGGAGAGTTTGCAAACACTGTTTGGCTTATCGTATCTTGCCACGGCACGGCGGAAGCAGATTGTTTCATGTAGAAAAGTTTGATAAAGAACTTATTCTGATCAATTTAAAGAAGATTGGTGTTTAAATATATATATATATATATAGAAGAGAGGAAAAAAAATCCGCTGACAATATGATGAAAATAATATCAATTGGTAATAATCAGTTAGGTATCAGTTCCTGACACAGTCGGGTCGGACTTATCTTAGTCACATGACCTCTTAACTGAGTGTGTGATAAGCTTAAAGATAGTGCGAAAGTTGAGCTGGCACAAAGGCGACAGATTTCTTTGTGAAAAGGAATCTCAGATTCACGGTTGGTGATATATTTATATATACACTTGGGTCAAAAAGAGTTGTAATCTCACGTCGACGAAGCACATTTTCTTCGTTTTCCTGGTACTTCTTTACTTGACAACCTGGACATTTTAACCGCAACGGCAAGACGAACGGAGTGGAGATGTCCGAGGGTCGCTGAAAGAATGAGGGAGCTGGACACCGAGAGTCCCGTCGTCTGGCCGGCTTGGTGTTACTCTGGTAAATTCAAATTTTGTAAAAAAAAATTAATTTTATTTTAGTAATTGCGATGACAATTGTAAAAAATTATTTAAAATGATACAAAAATAGATTTTGATTTTGACGATTTTGTTACAAGAAACGATTTTCTAGTAATTTACTTTTCGAATCCATTTTGAAGAAAGGTAAACATTTTTTCTAAACTTTGTTATTCACAATTTCTTTTTATTTCCAACAATAATGAGAATGAAAAAAGGTTTCTTAATTTCACAGCTGAGCTTCTAAAGCGCGTATTTCACCTGTCGGAACGGTTTTACGTAATGTCTTCTAGGTATATAACAGCACCACGTGGCTATTATCAATAGCCATCTGGAGAGTGGCTCGTGTGTTGATGTTTAGAAAAAAAACATTAATATCTTTCTAAATGGCATGAACCTCATCGTCTTTTAATAAAGTCGTAAATTCCTTATATTTAAAATTGTAATCCTGATGGATAAAATAATAATTAAGCTTCTGTATAACAAAATTTTCTTTTTCTATTCCTATATGGATTTACGATTGTAATCACGTAGTTTCATTGTAAGATGTGTTTTTCCGAGTACACACATATCCACCCTTCCGGATGTAAATCACCAGTATCGAAGGACGACATAGGATCACGTTCCTCGTCGACCTTCGCCTCTTGCAATGTCTCGCGTTGTCCTCGGGTTGTTCGATTACTTTCTTGGGAGTTAAATATTGGCTGTCGCTCAAACCAAGCCGCAGCTCCATCTTTTACCGATCTCACGGTTACCATCAGGGGGGCGATTGACTTATTTATGGACCACAAAGTAAACCTTTACCTATACCTATCGATTCCCGATTCCTTTATAGTATATATGTGTATAGTGCTACTACCAAGAACCTCATTGAATAGGACAACCAGTCAGCTCTCTTGTATCCATTGTTTCTGACATGACCACGTCGTACAAATGACAAAAGTTCAGTAATCTTGTTGCAACTTTAGTGATCAATCTCATGCGATCAAAAAAAAAAAAATCTCCATTTCATATTCTGTTGACGCCAAAAATATATGCAAAAAAATATTTTTACGATTAGCCAGGATTTTAATTCTAAAAATTGTGTATATAGAAATAACCGTTTTTATATTGTTCCGGAGTCAGATTATATTGAGTTATTAAGAAAGATTTACGAGTATATTTTTCATTCGTCATCAAATATACCGATTAAATATATATATATACAGGTGTCTTAAAAATTAGCATATTTGACGGTAAACATAGACAATGTAATTTTTAGCTCCCAATCCTCTATGAATTGAAATTTATCTTGTTTTCAATATATTCGTTTGGCATTTTTTTTAAATTCTATACAGAAAATTTGATTCAAAAGGATGTTACACTTGATTAATATATCAAATAAATATTTGTCCTAAATAAAATATCAAATATTTGTATTCAACTAAAAAAAAATGATATCAAAAAATTTGCCTAAGTCAATTAACAGGTACTTTTTTTTAAATACAGAAATTATTAATTTGAATAGAAATTATTTTCATAAAAAAATTAAACACTTATATCACAGAACTTGGTTTATTTTGAAAATAGTCTGTTGAGTGCGCGTCAAAGAATTTTTTTTTCCAGGTTAAATGATTCGCGTGAATTAAGTATGTGTGTATTGCTTGGAAAATAAAAATAAGACAAGTAGATTTTACCTCTATCAGGATAGTTAATGATTATATAGTTAAAATTTCACGTTCCAACGCGATCCAAAATGGTGACAACCATCACAAGTCATTAATCGCTTAAAAGACATTTTCCATAAGGTAAATCGCGTGAGTCATGTCATTTAATTGCGACTTATCGCGCGCTATTGCTCTCGGGGGTTTTCACGAGAAAAATTCTCTCTTGAAAATTATATTGAATAGAATAGGTGAAAAAAAAATTCTCCTTCCCTCTTATTTTGTTATTTATATATAAATATTATAGAAAAAAAACATAATTGTACAATTTTACATTGCAATCGTTTATAAATATATGTTTAGTCAAAAATTTCTGAATGATTCGTTCATTAAATGAATTAGTAATTTTTTTGACTAATTTTTAGTCAAAAACGAGTATAATTGATAGTAGAAAACTACTGATTTTTTATTAAAATTTATTAATTGTAAAAGTAGCTTTAGTCAATGAATTAGTAGGTTCCTGCTATTAGTAAGTAGTTTTCTACTGTCAGGTAGTCATTTTCTATTGCCTGATAGTTGTTTTCTACTGTCAGTTAGTTTTTTTCTTAATTAGTACCTTCATACTATTAGTTAGCAATTTTCTACTATGAGTTAATCGTTTTCTGTTGCTCGGTAGCAGTTTTCTACTGCCTGATAGTAGTTTTCTACTGTCAGTAGGTTTTTTTCTACTATCAGTTAGAATTTTTCTGCTATCAGTCAGTATTCTTCTATTAATTAGTATTTTTCTACTGTCAGATATTTTTTTTCTATCAGTCATTTTTCTTCAATTAATTAGTCGCTTCCTACTATTAGTTAGCAATTTTCTACTATCAGTTAGTTGTTTTCTATTATCAATTAGTCGTTTTCTAATGACTGATAGTATATTTCTACTATCAGTCAGTTTTCTTCTACTAATGAATAGCTTCATACTATTAGTTGGCAATATTCTAGTATCATTTAGTCATTTTCTACTACTCGGTAGTAGTTTTCTACTGCCTGATAGTAGTATTCTAGTGTCAGTTAGTTTTTTTTCTACTATTAGTCAGTTTTCTTCTATTAGTTAATAGCTTCCTACTATTAGTTAGCAATTTTCTACTATCAGTTAGCCGTTTTCTACTGCCTGATAGTAGTTTTCTACTGTCAGTTAGTTTTTTCTACTATCAGTTAGAAGTTTTCTACTATCAGTTAGAAGTTTTCTACTATCAGTCAGTTTTATTCTATTAATTAGTAGCTTCCTACTATTATTTAGTAGTTTTCTACTATCAGTCGTTTTCTACTATCAGTCGTTTTCTACTATCAGTAGTTTTCTACTATTAAAAGTTTTCTACTATTAATTAGTCGTTTTCTACTACCTCTTAGTAGTTTTCTATTATCAGTTAATCGATTCTACTATTTGTTAGAAGATTTCTACTATCTGTTATTAGTTTTCTACTATCAGTCGTTTTCTACTATTAGAAGTTTTCTACTATTAATTAGTCGTTTTCTACTATCTGTTAGTAGTTTTCTATTATCAGTTAATCGATTCTACTATTTGTTAGAAGATTTCTACTATCTGTTAGTAGTTTTCTACTATCTGTTAGTAGTTTTCTACTATCAGTTAAACGTTTCTACTATTTGTTAGAAGTTTTCTACTATCAGTCATTTTTGTTCTATTAATTAGTAGTTTCCTACTATCATTTAGTCATATTTCTACTATCAGTTAGTGGTTTTCTACAATCAGTTAGTGGTTTTCTACTATCAGTGAGTAATTTTTTACTATCAGTTTATAGCTTTCTACTATCAATTAGTTGTCTTCTAATATCAATTAGTAGTTTGGTACCAACAATTAGTATTTTTCTATTATCAGTAAGTAATTTTCTACTAATAATTAGTAGTTTTCTACTATCAGTTTTTAGTTATTTTTTTTTATTAATCAGTAGTTTTCTACTATTAAACCTTTATCTTTAATTATCTAAAAGAAAAATAAGTTTTTATTGAATTTTTTTGATGTAATGAAGACAGTGTTTCGTAGTAGGGAGTTATTTTCAAACATCAGAAACCTAACCTAAAAATTTTCACCCCTAACGTCCCTTTTCACGTGGACATTTATATAAATATCTATTTACGAAAATATATTTAAAAAAAAAAAACATAGAAACGCAATCCAATCAGTGTGTGCGAAAAACGGTAGAAAAAGATATGTCGTGAGACTGGCGCCTTTACTTAATTTAGCGCTCTCGCCGCAATATGTGAAAACGTTGAGAGCCGTTAACTATAACGAGTCGGGATAAAACCTCGTGTTTATGCGAAGGCGTTACCCGGGCGTGAAGTGAAGATCCACCTTGTGATAGAGACATGTTTTCAAGTATTACCTTGGCCCTTGGACATCTTCACGATGGTGTTACGACCACCATCGGAAATCATGGCCGCTTTTAATCGCGGATAACATCATCGCGCGGCGCTCGTATAATCGAAATCGTTTGCTAGCTTCTTCTTCGATTTTGCAAAAAACCCTCTTGCTTGCGCCGCATATACTGATAACGAGATGCACACTATACGTAAGTGAAATCCCTTCTTCTTTTTTTTTATTTATTTTTGTTTTTTTTTGCCATTTCCGGCGCAGAGAGTCGTGTCATCATTTTAAAAGGGGAGTGACGTCTTTATTGCCCGCTTGTGTGTGGACATTAGAATGCGCTTAAACCTTGATTTTTGCACACACATATACACACCTCGTAAAAAATATCATCTCATTTTACAAAACTAACTCACTAAAAAAAAAAAAATGAACATTTCGCATTTTATTTTGAGTCATATAAATGCGCGCGCCTTTCTCTTGCGGTGACATAAAATAAAAGAGATGTTTATATTCGAGTTTGATGTTTTCGAATTATTTTACTACCTTTCGAATATAAAGTAAGTTACAGCTTCATTTTAGAGAAATTTCGTTATCGTGAGGGAATATTTTTTTTAATATCTTTAAAGATCTTTATAGTTGAAAATAAGTTACAATATCGTAAATATTCATTTTTTTTTTTTTTTTTTTTTTTTTTTTTGAAATCATAGAAATTATTTAATTAAAGTGATTGATTATTTAAAGGCTCGAAATAAGATGTTTGTTTTAACAGCGTCATAACCAAATTCTGATGAGTTTAAAATTTTAATTATAATGATTTAGATTAGAGTTTAAATTTTAATTGCACATTAAGTGTTTCTACTGGTCCCGGAAGTGTTGTAGTTGAGAAGTCACGTCGTTAATAAAGGTATACGAGAATGGGTCGGTGAGCGGGCGCCGCTGGACCGCTTCGTTGGAATGGTTCTCTTT